TTTGTCGCCACCTACAATTAAAAAAAAAAAATTAAAGAAAATAAATAAATAAATCTAAAGGCCATTTTCTTACCCACTAATCTGTACTACTAATAAATTCTGCCAATTCAGTGGTTAGTTCTACTTACACTAATGCTTAATTGGGAACAATCTCCTGTGCACCTGGACTAATAAAGAAATTGTGGAGTCAAAGGTAAATATGGGGGCTGGGGATGTGGCTCAAGCGGTAGCGCGCTCGCCTGGCATTCGTGAGGCCCGGGTTCGATCCTCAGCACCACATACAAACAAAGATGTTGTGTCCGCAGAGAACTAAAAAATAAATATTAAAAAATTCTCTCTCTCTCTCTTTCTCTCTCTCTCTCTCACCTCTCTCTTTAAAAAAAAAAAAAAGGTAAATATGAGTCACCATTTAATAGAGACACCAAAAAATATAATACGATAGGGATGGATGTTATAATAAAAAGAAATCACATGTCACTTAGCCTCTACAAATTAAACTGAATTTCTAAGGCTAGAAATAAATAAAACAATTTCAGACATGCTAATTTTTACATTTTATAAAATCTAGAAACATTTTCCTCCTTAGTATCTCTGGTAGTTGTCCTCTATCATTTCTGCTCTTCTAGGAGGTTCCTTTGTCTCATAAAATATCAATTTTCCCCAAGGAGTCACCCTCAGCTTTTTCTCCTTTTCTCTCTATAAATCTCCCCAGGCTGATTCTTCCATTCTCATGGCCCTCCATGCAGCCTGCCTCCCATTGTCTTTCTCAGTTTTCCCCCTGTCCTATAACCAACTAGACTCATTTACCTGGAACCATGAAAAACAACTTCTTTTCTTTTTTTTTTGCTACTGGGAATTGAACTCAGGGGCACCTGACAACTGAGCTATATCCCAAGCCCTATTTTGTATTTTATTTAGAAATAGGGTCTCACCAAATTGCTCAGTGCCCCACTTTTGCTGAGACTGCCTTTGAACTTGCTAGCCTCCTGCCTCAGCCTCCCAGCCGCTGGGATTACAGGCGGTGTGCCACCATGCCCAGCTCAAAAACACTTTCAATTTAACAAGCTCAAAACTGAATCTTCCCTAAAATGCCTGTCTGGCCCTACCTTTTTTATTTTGGTTTCCCTTGATTTAATGACCCAAGCTAGGAAATCTAAATTGATATTAACTCCTTCCTTTTCCAGGACTGTCAATTCTACCAAAAATTATCTAAATCTGCCCCCCAACTCCCCCACTCCTGTCCTGCCTTTCACCATAGCAGTAATTCAGGCCCTAAATTATGTTCCCCTAAACTACCCTGGCTAAGACTTCAACTGAATTCACAACTTTTGAGTCATTTCCATTCATGCCATGGCAGCTCTGATTTCTTTCTTGTTTTCTTTTTTTAGTTGTAGATGGATACAATACCTTTATTTATTCATTTATTTTTAGATGTTGATGGACCTTTATTTTATTCATTTATTTATATGTGGTGCTGAGAATCAACCCAGTACCTCAAAACCTTTATTTTATTTATTTATTTTTATGTGGTACTGAGGATCAAACTCAGTGCCTCACATGTGCCAGGCAAGTGCTCCACCACTGAGCCAAAACCCCAGCCCCGGCAACTCTGGTTTCTAATAAAATGTCTCCACTTAACTATCTGTTAGTTGAATAACTGTCACATCAAATAAAAATACGTTTCTACCTAAAAGAAAATAGTAAAATCAAAAGAGCATGCTTTTGATACATGCTTAAATTACATAAAATGCCAAATATTACTTTCAATTGTTTTATAATCTAATGGAAATATACATATCCCAAAATGGAATTCATAATGTTGTACTTCCTAAGAAACCTAAGGCTATGTTGGTCAAGTAGGTGATTTGGACTTTAAGATCCATAGACTTGGTTGGGGATGTGGCTCAAGTGGTAGAGCGCTCGCCTGGCATGCGTGAGGCACTGGGTTCAATTCTCAGCACCACATAAAAATAAAATAAAGATATTGTGCCCACCTAAAACTAAAAAATAAATATTAAAAAAAAAAAGATCCATAGACTTTTCATAGCTCCCATTTACAAAATGTCTTAGCACCAGGGCTGGTTTTAAAGTAAGATGAGAGAGGAAAAACAAAGTTAAGAATATGTCCTTCTGGCTGGGCACTGTAATCCCAGCAACTCCAGAGGCTGAGACAACAGGATTGCAAGTTCTCGTCAATTTATTGAGAACATGCCTCAAAATGGGCTGGGGGTGTAGCTCAGGGGTAAAGTCATAGAGGGTTCACCACTAATACTTTGGGGGGCAGGAAGCTACTCCTTTACCTATTTGCTTTTGTTTAAACCAATGCTTCACTCACATTACACTGCACTAAGTAGTACACTTCAAAAGATGAAAAAAATGGAGACAAAATAGGAATATTAAAAAAAAAAGTGGGGGGTATCAAAAAAGGAACAGAAAACAAATTTGTAAGTCAGACTCTAAATACTGAATAAAATTTCAATTTAAAGCTGGCCACAGTGGCACATGCCTGTATCCCAGTGACTCCGGAGGCTGAGGCAGGAAGATTGCAAGTTCCTGGCCAACCTCTGCAATTTAGTGAGACCTTGTCTCAAAATAAAAAGGTCTGGGGATGTAGCTAATTGATAAAGAGCACTGGGTTCAATAGCCAATATCAAAAAAAAATTTTTTTCTTCAATTTAAATTTTCCTTTTAAAGAGGAGGAATGAATATTTTTAGTTAGAATTAAATCAGTGTCTATATTAACTACATTTTCATCAAATCTCAATACCCAGAAGCAGGCTGAATTGAGTACACAGTATTGAGTATAGATTAAGAGCATGGACTTAAGGGTCAGATGTAAATTCAAGTATGGCCTTTTCTTTAACCCCACCAATTCTGCCACTTACTGACCATGTAACTTTCACAACTTTGATTCATGATTCCTAAAATAAGGATAATGAGTGTTAAAGAGGATTATGTATGTGAAGAGCACTTAGTATACTGAATGACACAGAATAAGCATTCAGCAAATCATACATGTTGTAATGATATTCCTTAAATCTCGATTTTCACAAAATTGTGATACATACACAGAATACGATTTTAACAATTTGAAAAATGAAGCAATTTTATACTTACTGATATGAATGATCTCCATGATATATAAAATTTAAAAATTAGCTGTGCTATCTACTGAACAGTTTTGTATGTTACTACTTCAACTTTTTAAAATTTATTTTTTAAATTTATTCTAATTTATTATATATATGACAGCAGAATGCATTTCAATTCATATTACACATACATAGCACAATTTTTCATATCTCTGGTTGTACACAACATGAGTCATGTTACTATTTCAACTTTTTCTTTTTTTTTTGGTGGTGGTCCTGGGGCTTTGTGCTTGGGAGGCAAGCACTCTACCAACTGAGCTATGTCCCCAGCCCTACTACTTCAACTTTATATATATATATATATATATATATATATATATATATGCTTGTACATACACTGAATGCCTCTGGGAGAATACATAAAAAACTAGTTCTTAGAGGATTCCTCTAAGGAGGAAAAGTAAACTGCTAAGATACAGTTCTTACATTTCATCATATTTCTCCTTATAAATTTTGAATTTTGTACCATTTGCTTTTATTGATTATTCCTGTCCATATAGTTTATTATTTTATTTTTGCAAGTGCTGAGGATCCAACCCAGGGCCTCTATATGTTACACATGCACTCTATCACTGAGCTATACCCCCAGCCCTATTGATTATCCTAAAAATAAAATTTATGATACAGAATTTATACTACCAAAATATTTCATTATACATTAAGTGCGTTAAACTGATCTTTGCATGAAAAACACAAGACTAAGGTGACTTACTAAATGAGTTTTAGTATTAGTTTCGACTGCACTGATGGTAATGATCAAGATCATTACATTTTTAACCAATGAGAAGCCATTTATTAAAGTACATAAGGTTTGTGTGTGTTTGTGTTTTAACCCAGAGGCGCTCTACCACTGAGTTACATCCCCAGTCTGTTGTTATTATTTATTTATTTTTAAAGTCTCATTAAATTGCCCTAGCTTGCCTCAAATTTGCAATTCTCCTGCCTCAGCCTCCCAAATCACTGGGATTATAGGCCTACATCACTGCACTTAGTTTAAAGTATATAATTGATGAAAGCATATTAATTGATTAAGGTATATAAGGGGCCTACTTGGAGATGAGAAAAGAGAAAACATAAGTATATGGATGGGGAGACAGTAATTTTACCATTCATTCGATAATCATATCTACCCATGAGGTGCCAATCACAGTTGAGGAAAAAAATTACACGAAGGTCCTTGCCTTTCCGTAGTAGTGTAAGAATATGTGAACAGGGCAGGAAAATTTGCATTCTTGTGGGCTTGGTAACTCAAAACATACATTCATTCATTGGTGCATAAACAACAATAAATGATGAATGAATGATGAAAGTCTGGTGACAAAAAAACATTCCACTGAGGCTTGAAAACACCAAGAATGGATCCCTCAATCTGAGAAAGCTTCTAGTAGTCCTGCGTTCCCAGAATCCCGAGAACAGCAAGGTCTGCTGGGGTTGAGGCGCGACTCCTAATCCTATGCCCAGTCACCTGCCTGGAGGGGCGGAAAGGCACCGGGTGTCCCCAGACACCTACCCCGCACTCAAATCCCTCGGAGCCAGGCACTCCCGCACCTGGACTCATCAGGTCTCAGCTTTCTAACTTCTAGAAGGTACAAACTACAGATCGACCTCTGACCCTTAAAGTGAAAATCACTAGGCAGTTTCCACAATGCTCGGAGCTCCTTTAAGGACGAGTACGGGGGCGGTGTATGGAAGGGCAAAAGAAACAAACTCCTCTCAGGAGACCCCTCGGTTCAGAAAAACCTTGAAAACCAGGAGGCGCCTGGTGAGATCTGGGAAGGAGGGTGACCCCAGTGGATTCTCCTATGATATGCAAAGCCGGGTTGGCCTACTCAAGGCACAATCACTGACCTTTACAAAGGGGCTTCCCTGGGGCGGTGGCGGGAGGAACAAGAGCGGCGGCCCAGGCCCGGCACCCAACACATCTCCGGCTCAGCCGGCTCCGCGCTAAGGAGTGCAGGGTAACCAAGGGCGACCAGGAGGCCGCCATCTTGAGCTCCGTATATGGGAGAAAGAGGAAAACTTTATTGAAACTCAGAAGAGAGACCGACACACAGTCAAACTCGGCTGTGCTCGGGGAAGCTCCGCCTGAGCGGACGAAAGAGCAGGTAAGGAACGTGCCCTCCAGGTCGGAAGAGCGGCCTGGACTCCCGTGCCCTTCAGTGCTTCCGGGCTAGGCCGACGGAGACTACGGCTCCCAGCATGCAGTGCGCCGTGGCGGGGTGCGGAGACGGGTGGGGAGCTCCTCCCTTGGGAGGAGCCGGCTGTAAGGGAGCGCCAAGTTCTGGAATCCTTGGGGAGTGATAATGTCTAGCAACATGCCTGAGCCTTCACTTAAGGGAACGCGCGTAAATAACATGTAGCTAGGGAGTGGGCTAATGGGTCCTTCAAGAACAGCGACTAGAGCTAAAGCAGGCAAGAAGTTTGAAGTACGTACTTTCTCGCTTTCTCGCCAGATCTCAGTTGTATGAAAAGGAAGACACTAGGAAGAATTACAGGAAGACAATGGGTGTGCACCAGAATAGGAACTCCAGAGAAACAGAAAAAGGAAAATGTAGCATGGCATAAAAATTTGGAGACTTCTCTACCACCTTTGTCAAATCATTGACTGTATGAAAAAATACATCACTTTACACATACACGTTTTCTAGCTTTTAATTCCACTGACGCTACAAATTGTTCCTCCATACTACTGTGAATTATTTTTGTTTTAATGTTACTAATTTTTGGTGTGACATTTTGTGAAAGGTCTTTCGAAAAATTAGTTTCTTCCTTCACTTACATATTCATTTATCATAAGACTTTCAGAGCTACTGTGGAGGCTGAGGCAGGATTCCTTGAGCCCCAGGACTTCAAGGTCAGCCTAGGTAACATAGTGAAACCCCCATCTCTTAAAAATAAATACTAACCCGGCGAGGTGGTACACACCTGTAATCCCTGTCTGAGTCAGGAGGATCTCAAGTTGGAAGCTAGCCTGGGCAATTTAGTGAGACCCTGTCTCAGAATAAAAAAGCACCCCAGGGTTCAATCGTGAGTACCAAAAACAAAAAGTCATTCAGAGAGTATTTAGGTATCATTGTGTTTACTCCAGAAAAGCAATTTCTTGTCTCGGTCAATGAAATTATCCTTTATTAGAGATTCCAAAAGCTCAATAATTAATGAAAGTGAAATAGCAATCATGAATGTTTAATGTCAAAGAGGCAGGAATATTCTACAGGAATTTTTTCACATGGCTATGCAAATAAAAGCATAACATATGAACGATATTGTGGATAACTGTGAAGTAATTTAAAGGTAAATACATTTGTTGTATTCAAGACAATTTGTTATGACCATAAGACTATGTAACCACTGTAAACTATTTTTCTTTCTTTTTTTTTTTTTGAGAGAGAGAGAGAATTTTTTAATATTTTAGTTTTTTTTAGTTTTTTTCAGCTGACAAACATCTTTGTACGTGGTGCTGAGGATCGTACCCCGGCCTCACGCATACCAGGCGAGCGCGCTACCGCTTGAGCCACATCCCCAGCCCTAAACTATTTTTCTAAAACATTAATCCTGCAATTAAGAAAATTGAAAAAAATAAAAAATAAATAAAATAAAACAAAAAAATAAATAAATAAAATAAAAATAAAAATAAATAAATAAAAAGAAAGAAAATTGAACATTATCAGAAACGTTATTAGAAATAAATCAGAAAGGCCGGGTGCGGTGGCATGCCTGTAATCCCAGCGACAGGGAGGCTGAGGCAGGAGGATCCCAATTTCAAAGCCAGCCTCAGCAATTTAGCAAGGCGCTAAGCAGTTTCTAATAAAATACAAAATAGGGCTAGAGATGTGGCTCAGTGGTCGAGTGACCCTGAGTTCAATCCCTGGTACCCGAATAAAAAAAGAAAAAAGAAGGAAATCAGAAACCATTATCTTGTCCTCATTTAAAAATCTCCCTAGAGAATGTGGCAAGTTCTGGCATCTAATATTAAGGACAAAATCAGTCTGAAAGTATCCAGAGAAAGACAAAAACAATAATAAAGAAGTGAGAAAGAGAATAGTTAATGGAAAACATGCTGTATTAGGAGTCAAGATATATATTCCGGCTTTGATTTACTAAGTTAACTTTTTTTCTTCTGTTTTCCTTATGGCATCTGTCCTAGCAACCTCACAGAGGCTTTGTGATAGATATACGCTAATGGTTAATCAGATATTATTACAAATAAAAATTGAGAAGAGATAAGGCTAAAGTGTAAAATAAGGAAGTGCTCGTTTGCCAAGACAACATCATGATATCCAAAAACTGTAGAAATAATAAATGCACTCTGAAACTTGAAAAAGGTAGGGAGAAATATTTAAATAAATGGGAGAAGGTGCTACAAAACATCAATACTTAAAAGTAACAAGTTTCTATTGTTATTGTTGATATTTTCTGTTTTTTGTGGTACTAAAAATTGAACCCAGGCCTACTGTAACAGTGAGCTATATCTCCAGCCCTTTTCATTTTTATTTATTCATTTTTAAATTTTGAGACAGTTTCACTAAATTGCCAAGGCTGGCCTCAAACTTACAGTCCTCCTGCCTCAGCCTCCTGAGTAGTTAGGCTTACACATGTATACCACCAAGGCAGCAAGTTTACAAAATGCATTCAAGGCAAAAGAAAAAATAATAAAGGATTTATTTGTTTGTTTATTGGCAGTACTAGGGATGAACTCAGGAGTACTTTACCCCTAAGCTACATCCTTAACCCTTTTTATATTTTGTTTTCAGAAGTCTTACTAAATTGCCCAAGCTGGCCTTGAATTTGCAATCCTCCTGTCTAATTCTTCAGAGTTGCTGGGATTACATGTATGGGCCCAACTTCAAGAAGGATTTAAATAAATGAGGTAATAATAAAAAAAAGTAGAGATTATTTGGAATGTTTAGTTTTTCTCTACTTCTTGCACACCCTGATTTTCCATTTCCATATGAAGTTACCATCCCTTTGCACCACTGACTGACTACAGATAAAACAGGCAATTGACATGAACCAACAAGGAAACAATTTCCTTATAATATTGTTGTTGTTCCTCTTCTTAAAAATCATTTCCTTAAAGAGAAGAGGATGCTCTAATCTTATTCTCATTTCTACTACCCCATCTGTAGCTTTCTCATCTCAATAGGTGACAACTCTGGCCTTCCAGGTGTTCAGGCCATTTATCACAGGGACTATGCTTTCCCCTTTCTCTCTTCCCCACACATCCAGTCCTTCAGTGAATGTTGTTGGCTCCAGAAATCTATTAATTTTTACCACCAATATTGTTACCACAAATTCTGTTCCAAGTTACTATCATCTTCCCTCCTGGATTGTTTACAATTGCCTTCTAATTGGTCTCCTTGCTTGCTCTCTTGATCCATACAGCCTGTTTTCCACACAGCAGCCATACATGCATACGTGTGTGTGTGTGTGTGTGTGTGTGTGTGTGTGTGTGCATGATCTCCTGCCTCAGCTTCTGGAACACCTGGGATTATAGGCATGTTTGTTTGGTCTTTTTGGGAGAGCGCCTCATTGTGTTTCACAGTCTCTCCTCAAAGGCCTGTATTCAAGTGATCCTCCTGCCTCAGCCCTTTTTAGCAGCTGTGTCTACAGGTGCATACCACCATGCCCAACTATTTTTTTACTTACATGATAGTATATACTTATATTAACCTATGTAGCTTTTTCTTAAATTTTACTAAATCAAATTTTGAAGGAGAATTGTAATGCCAGATTCATGGGACCCCAATAGACCTCAAGGAGCTGAATCCGATGCAAGCACACAAGAGTTTTTATTGCAAGCTCTGAGGCTGGACTCACAACTGTTTCTTACGCAGCGGTCCCAAGGAGTGAGTCCTGACCCTTAGTTCAGTGAGGATTTATAGGTTTTGGGGGGATGTTCTATGCGTCACAACATCACACAGCAAATCATTGCAGACCGCAGGAAAATCAAACAACAACTCTTAACATTAATTAGCACATTCACTGGCGGGAACAGTTGGGTAAGGGTGATTGGTTACTTCAAGTGGTGGATACATTTGAACTGATTGGTTTAGACCGGGATGGGTTGCAAGAGTGTATACGCTAAACTGCAGGGTGGCTTAATCATGTTATCCATCACTGAAACTACTGGGAGGGTCACCAGGCATTTCAGATATTTTCCCTGTCTCATGCTGATTGTTAGTTGCTAGGGGGTTGCTATGGGTCATCACCTAGCAGAACTGAGTCAGGACACCAGGCTCTGCAGATCCCTCCTTTTAAACAACTCAGCAGGGTGGGTATGTGCCTAGGAGCGTTCTGTGGGTTTTTCCAAGGACAAGGGTCACGTCCCTCCCTTTGGACAGGCCTTGAGGTAGAAGCTGGTTTCTCAAAAATGGAGTCATCGGTTTCTCAGAATAAAAAAAGCATTCCTTATTTAATTTTTCTGCATCATCCTTTTTTAAATAGCAGCAATAAAACTGGATTATAGGTGTATACCTATAACCCTAGCAACTCTGGAGGCTGAGGCAAGAGGATTGCAAGTTCAAGGCCGGCCTCAGCAACTTAGTGAGACCCTATCTCAAGTAAAAGTTAAAAAGACTAGGAATGTATCTCAATTGTAAGGCATCCCTAAGCTAAATCCCCAGTTACCAAAATAAATAAATACATAAAATAAAATAGCAGCAATCCCCAATTGGTCTTATCCATCCCCAACACTAGAGATACATTTATAATTTGGGAGCCATTTTTAACTGATTCCTCTTCTTCATCCCTCAAATCCAATCCTTAGACAAATATGATTGACTCATCTTAAAATGATTTAATACCATGATTATGTCTTCTGTAAGGTCCTTGCTTAGCATCTGGGCAGTCATCTTAAGTGACAACCGCCATTTTCCCATCCAAGGACTTTTCTGGGAAAGGCTCACCACTCCCTCATACCAACCCAACCCTTAAACTGCCCACATTAGGACCGACCCAGCTCTGCTCCCTGAGCCTGGCCCATAAAAGCTCCAAAATCCAAGCCTGTCCTGCCCCTCTTCTCTATGGAGGGATGAACCTTTGTCAGCTCTGATAAATAAACTATTGTGTGTATCTTTGCCTGGTTTCCGTCTTTCATTTCTCTCTCGCTCATCCATTTCCCGGTTTCTCGCTTTCCATTCATCTTCCTTCCATCTTTCAGAGATTGATGCTCTAGTCACCAAACAGTGGTTTGGTCTCTTTCCTTTCCATACCACCCTGCTGACTGATGTGTTTGTCTTCCAACAGATGTGACCTATCTGACCACAGTCCTTCACAGTCTCTAATTTGCAATGCCTCCCTACTATCCGCAAAATGAAATATTATTTCTTCATAACAGACTTTTAGAAAATCAGGATCTGGCTCCTGCCTACTTTACCAACTTCTCGTATTTAGACTTGAGCAATAACAGGTAATTTGCCAAATATTATATTTGTTTTCATGAAGATCTCAAAGATCTCTAAAAAGCTTATTTATTTCATCCACCAGTTTATTTCCTAAGCATGTATTCTGATAATTTTTTTTTCTGATTTTTTATTAGGAAAAGTCATTTTAATAAAAATTACTATCAAAACTGCTAATTATCAGGTGTGGTGGTACACACCTATATATAATTCCAGTGACTAGGGAGGGTGAGGTA